TGTTGTCAAGGTGCTGGGAATGGTGTCTTTTGGGAATTTGAAAGCTGGCATTTGTGGCTTTTTGAACTCTTACAACCCCACAGGAAATGTCTTATTAGAATCATATGACTGAAGTCTGACTTAACCAACCAAATGAAACATTTATATGCAGAAATCAAATTCCTCTTTACCGCAATATGCTTTGGACAACACCAAGAAAGGGCAAACTTTTCTACGTATCCTGGTAGTGGATTCTAGATGGCCGCTGTAGGCTAAAGGATACTGGGCTAGATGTATCTCAGTCTGTTCTAGCAAAACAGACCTTAAGCTTTTTTCAAATTCAGATTGATATTTTTCCTCAGACAGTTGTCAACTCTTCAGGTGGACCATATAAATACTAGTCTATTCTGACCTGCAGTAATCCTTCTTGTTCTTACAAACTAAAAAGAGAGAGACACAAGAGACTGAACTTGAGTTATTATACATACATTAAAGACCATGTCATCCATCTGTCTTTTTTGCTCATGTCTTGGTGCATGTGAGGGCTAGGATCTTGTCTCCTTGTGTCACCTCCAGTGTTACACAGGGCCTCTAGGGGAACTATGCCTTGTCATAATGGAGAATAGTCATAAATCAAGGTATATGAATCCACTCATTTGAATATGTTTGGGGGAAGGGTGGGGCCAACAACAATGTCCTTGATCGCCTCTCCCTGTGTCATTTCCATAAGTACTAACTTTACAAGGTTACACTATGAGCAAGTACAAAGCAGGGCATTCAAAGGCAGGATAAAAAGATTATCAGAGTGATATGAAGAAAGAAGAAAAGTAAGAACAAGAAGGCCGGATGTTATATCTGTCTATCTATGCAGGAAAAGCCATCTTCAGTTTTCCTGCCTTTGTGTTAGTGTGTGTATGTACCTTTGAGTCAGTCTTGACTCTTACTTGACTAATCCCTGCAGTTTTCTTGGCAAGACTTTCAAAAGTGACATGCCCTTGCCTCCTTCCTAGGGCTGAGAGAGAGGGACTGGCCCAAGGTCATCTATCTGGCTTTGTGCCTAAGGCAGGACTTGAACTCATGGTCTCCCAGTTTCTAGATTGGTACCCTAACCACTACACCAAACTGGTTCTCTTTCCTGCCCTTAGCTACATTATTGCCCGTTGTTGTGCCTATAATTTCCTTTCCAATACATTTCTTATAGACTGCTTTCTACCAGGTTTTTGGGGGAGGCTCTGAATTCCAAGATTTATAAACTGGTAAATTGCCTGGTGGTTTGACTAACAGAGAATGTGCAGCCCAACTACTGACAAAGGCAAGGGGCCTTTTTTACAACTATCTTTACAGCAGTTGCCTTTATTCTCCATTTATTTCATGATCCAATTTAAAGCATTTTAAAGCCTGGGGAGAGTAGGGAGAACTGTCTCCATTTATGTCTCCCCAGCCACTGAAACAGATAGATCTTATTTGTGCTTTATCTCCGTTCCTGGTCAGGTTGTTGATATGTCTCCTCAGAAGGAAGTATCAGGGAAGTTTACTCACAGGCAAGTGATATTTTTTTCTTACGTGACCTCCACAATCTGAAAATCTCTGTCTGAGGTGGTCAGCTAAATAACTTTCCTTTATAATTTTTAGTATGATTTCAAACACTCATGACTGATAGCAGTTCCCTCAACCTGGTGCCCTCTAAAAATGTTGGACCAAAACTCCCAAAACATACCAAGTCAACATGAAATGGTACCAGGCTGAAAAATGCTAAAGATGCTGATTTGTGGAATAGGATTTCATAAGTATTATTCCTACTATGTCATTTTTATCTCTGTGCATGTATTGATTTCTTTATTTGTGTTTTTTATTACTGGTTTCCATTGATTTATTATGTCTTTACTTGTCTCTTTGAAGATATTTTATTTGCACAGAAAAATGATCAATAGATTCATAAGTAAACATGAACAGCAAGCTTTAGCTTGCTCCTCATATTCTATCCCAAAGAATAAATGGAAAAATGCAGCTAATTGGGAAGACCATTCACTTGCCTGCTGGTTCTGTAGAAACCAGAAAAATGAATCTGGTAGTGTCAGATAAAGATAAATGTCCCCCCTAAAATTTAATGGGATTGCATGGAACAAATGGTCTTACAGTGAGATTTGCTGGAGGTTGAGGATCCAAGGGTCAGTCTCTACAACTGCTGCAGAACTGAGTTGCTCTAAAAGGTTTCTTCCCCTCTCTCTCCCCCGTCAGCTCCCAATATCAAATGCTGGTAAATGGCCCAGCTCTGCACAGTTACTCCTTTTCATACTGTTGGCCCACCATAGGAATGTATGATGGTTCAGCTGACTCTAGTTGGCTAAAATATCCAAAGAATGTACTGAAGTTAGTCTATTCAAGTTTTCAATTTTGTAAAATGCATTTGAAAAAAATGTCCCCTTGCTGCAGAACAATTTAAAGGCATTTTAGCAAATGCCCCATGTAGAGACCTGAAAGGTCCAAATTCTGTTTTATAGCTTAGTTTTGACTCTAGCAAGGTCAGATGGTATATTAGGAATGTATCTTTATACTGCTGTGCTAAAGGCGTATTTTGATTTTCATTGCTTTTCCCAAAAGTTTTTTTTAATTCAATGCTGCTAAAATCAAGTTGTTTACTAGATTTGCTCTCCATCATTCTGGAGAGAAGGAGCTGAACCAGTGGGTTGAAACTACAAGGAAGCAGATATAGGGTAGATATTGGGATAAATTTTCTGATGGTAATTGCTATCAACCAGTGAAAGAAGGAAGAGGCTGTCTCATAAAGTGGAATGTTTCTTCTTCAATAAAAATCTTCCGACAGAGGCTGGGTAGGCACCTGTCCAAAATGTTATATAAAATTCTGCACTGAGCATGGTTGGACCAGATGACCTCTGAGATGTCTTCTGACCCTCTGATACTATGGTTGTATGATTAGTATAACACGTGGTGGTCCTGGGATGAGCTAGCACTCCCTCTGCATAAACATGAAGGCAATGCTTACTGTCACATGTGCTTAAAATGCACTTCTGTAACTATTTCCTGAGTATGCAACTCTGAGAAAACACCTGACACAGATTCCCTGCTAGATAGCATGGTAAGATTCCTTGCCATCTTTATTTTCCTTCAAATAGAGGATTCCAAAAATTAGTACAAAAGAGAATTATTTTTGAAATTGACCCAATAATGGCTAGCTGCTTGTGTTTGAGCTTGAAAAGCTAAAGAATAAGTTTCTATGAAAAAAGGGCATATTTTGCCTTTATATAGCATATATGGCAAAGACTTCTTGCTTGCAATGTGGAATGTTGCAGAAAATGTTCATGCAAAAATTAGACAGCTATTTACAGTATTTAGGATATTTGAATTCTTGATTTTCTGTACAGACCTATGCAGGCTCCTTTCAATACGAGGATACACACACAAACACACACACACACACACACACACACAGAGCTAATATTAATGAATGTACAAACTAAAGGTATTGGCAAAATAAGTGCTGTTTGCTTTTTTTAGTGATAACTAAGGTATATGTGGTTTCTAAATGTTTGTAGTAAGTGGGTATTTACAATGGATTATTTTATAACCTGTGCATCCAAATGCAAATATTTTTAAAAGGGGAAATAGAAATAGATACACTTTTAAAATAAAATCTGAAGTTGGATTAATAACATACATCATTTTTTTAATATTTTGAATTTTAAAAAGTTAATTTAGAACAATTTTCAGTAGATATACTGACTAGTATTCTTCTTGAGAATGCCAACAAAAAAAAAGGGGGGAGGATTTTTGTCTAAGGGGGAGAAAAAAGAATAAACCACAGTTGAAGACAGATTGCCAAAACACCATTGCATACATTTAGTATAGTTCTAAAACAAGGTTTTTTGTCTTGACTTGTATGAAACGTGAATTCCTTAATTAAACTTTAGCAGAGAAAGATGCATTATGCATATGGACACTTAACAACAATAAGTGCTTATTTAATGATGAGCAGAGCTGTAAAAATGAGTGTATTGTAAAGTTAATTGGGAGCTGAAGTGATTGCACTTTAATGTGACAAGCAGGGATTACTTATTTCAGTAGCTGGTACGTGCAATTTTCTCACAGAAGGAAAAAAATTGTCAGATTGCTCTTCTTGCATTTTGTCTTAAGAGTACCATATAATGTATAGCAAATGCATGTCTTGCAGCCATAATGCTTTAAGTCTCCACCTGCCCCAGGTGGCCTTTTGGCCTCTGAATGATCCTCAGTTCATACAAAGGCCAGAAGGAGGGATGAAGAAGACACCTGATGTGGATTTTGTGGAAGGGATTTGGGAGAGTTGCCCCAAGGGTTATCCAAAGGCTCTGAAGCAAGGTCAGAGCTCCTTACGACTCTCCTGCTGATTTGTGCATGATGGTGAAAAAGAAATACACGGGTCTGAAAATTGCATGCAAAATGAGTATCTGTGTAAAGAAGAAAAATCCAGAACTGACATCAAAAACATTTGCATTTAGAGTTTGCATGAAGAAAACGTACTAAACAAATTCGTGTAAGAGGAATAGAATTGAAATAGATTTCTCAGGGAATCTGTATTAACAGATGTATGTGTTATGAGAATTTGCATGCAGAGGCTCTCTATATTAGGAAGAGCTGGAGCTACTTTTGTAACCTACGGAACCTACGGAAACTGAGCCCTTTATTCTGTGGCTCTTCATCAGGAGCCAGTGGTTGTAAAAGAAGAGAAGAGAAAAGCTTGTTTCTCCAAGGGAAATGCTTAAAGGGCCATGTGAGAGACTCTTAAGCTGTTCTACTAGTTTGCAGAAAAATACCTGTGTGACTTGCATATTGTTTCTTTTCTTGTATACCAATACATGGTCTCAATCTACGGCTGCTTGTTTTGAGTGGAAAACAGTTGCCTGTTATAGTGTCATGCCTTTCTTTTGGCAGCTTCGCATAATCAGTGGGAGGCTCAACTTTCAAAAGAAAAGTCCTTCAACTTTAACAAGACAGAAGCTACATGATCACAGAGCATTACTTACCAGCCTGTCCAAGCTGGTGCCGGCAGCAGTCGTTGGTCTTTCTTCCGGGTTATAAGGTCGAAAGCGGGTGTTGAAATTTTCAGGAATGGATCGGGATGATCTTAAGCCTGGAGCTGGTTTAGGCTGTCCACAACCTTGAAAAACCTGCAAGAACCTACATGTTCAGCTGCACACAAAAGGCTCACTGAAGATACTGTAAGAATCTAACACACCTGACTGGATAGAAACTTAGCCTAAGTTCCACACCTTGAAAAGTCTACTTGAATCAGCAGACTTTTTACTTGCTATGCAAAACTTCAGTGGATTTTTTTTGTTAAAGGCCATCAGCCAACCGGTATAGTTTCAAAAATTTCAGTTAGCATTATCCAAATCTGAACTGTAAGCTCCTATCTGCTGTATCAGACAAGACTTGATTCATGAATGCCATATTTGAATGGTTCTGGTTTGGTTTTCAGTCCGTATAGGCTGAACAATGCCCTTGCATTTTGCCAGTTCTTTTCAGCATCAAGTATCTGAGCATGGACTGCCTGAAGGACTACGTAGCAATCTCCTGAAATGCTTAAACTTTGTTCTTTCAAGGCTGTGCATTTCTTGCCATCCTCACTATTCAGCAGATTTCTTCTGGAACTTCACAACTGCCCCATCTTCCATGAAAATGCAATCTTTTTTAGCACCAACTGCCTACTTCATAACCCATTTTATTTATTTATTTATTTAGTAAACTTGTCCCCGCCCATCTTCCCACAATTTTAGAATACTGTATATGAATACATTTCTCTGACAAGCTTAGTGGTTGAGGCCTTTTTTTTTTTAATGAATGTGCTCTGCTTTCTAAACAGAATTGAACTGAACTAAGAGCTATTTGAACAGAACCAGACAAGTTGCCATTGGTATAACCCCTACTGATATTTGGTCAAAAAGGTATTTACATCAATAATGGAAAAAAATAATAATAATATATGTCCTGAGAGTCACCAGACTAAGGAATACCAAATAGGGACTATAACAGGCTTAAGATTGAATAGGTCAGTGGAAAAATCTTCCTGTACTCCAATGTGTTGCAAATAAATATTGATCAATATACCGTTAATAGAAGGAAGTACATTTGGTAGATTATTAATGGATCAGAAGGATTATGATTTATCATAAAACCTCAGTATAGCTTATGTTACAGTTAGGTGAGTCTAGGAGAGTTAACCTAATTGATACTACTCATTGTTGCATCAGAGACTCTATCAAAACGTCACAAGCTGGAGTTAGATATACTGAGATCAGGTAGGGCTGGAGGTATGTGGATCTAGATGAATAAGGCAGGGTGAAGCTGGATCAGGGTGATCTGGCAAGAAAATGATGTTTTCCTCAGGAAAACACAATCAAACCCCTCTGCAAACATTCTGTGTCTCATAGAGGGGGAGCCTGAGGGAGGTCAGTGACCTGCATGGCTCCAGTTGAGCTCCTTCCTATATGCCTGAAGGACTCTGGCCTCTGTAGCCATTTATACTTTTATTGCCAGGTAAAAACTTTTCTTCTTCTAAAAAGAGAGCCAGTTGGGTGTAGTGGTTAAGGCACCAGGCTAAAAACCAAGAGATTGTGAGTTCTAGTCCTGCCTTAGGCACAAAGCCAGCTGGGTGACATTGGGCCAGTCCCTTTCTCTCAGCCCTAAGAAGAAGAAGGCAATGGCAAACCACTTCCAAAAAACCTTGTCAAGAACACTGCAGGGACTAGTCCACACAGTTGCCAGGAGCCAAAAACTGACTCAAAGGTACAAAAAACAAAGAAAAGCTTGTCTAGCATCCCTTCCCTTTGCTTCCATTGACCATTCTGTCCAAGTCTTGGCATTGTGTTTCAGGAAAGATACTGACAAACTGGCGTGTGTTCAGAGGAGAACAATCAAATTGATAAGGGCCAGATAGCTAAAGAAACAAAATGCAAAGAACAGTTGGAAATGTTGGGTATATTTACTCTGGAGAAGAGAAGACTGTGGGGAGACCTGACAGCTATTTTCAAGTATCTGCAGGGGTCTCATGTAGAAGATAGGGTAGACTTATTCACTGTTGTTCCACAAGGCAATGGACAAAATAATAGGTTTAAATTACAAGGAAGGAGATTTTGATTTGACAAAATCCTAATTTGCTAAGGTTAAGAACTGTTTAACAAGGGAATAGACTTCCTTGAAAGCTCTCCTTTGGGGTATTTAGACAACAGTTGGATAACCATCTGTTGAGGACGCTTTAGTAGTGGATTCCTGGACTGGGATGGTAGTTGGGCTATATAATGACAATACGGGTAGTCCTCAACTTATGACCACAATTGGGCCTGGAATTTCTGTCGCTAAGCAATGTAGTTGTTAAGTGAGTCATGCCCAATTTTATGACCTTTTTTGCCATGGTCGTTAAGTGAATCATGTGGTCATTAAGCAAATCTGGCTTCCCCCATTGACTTGGCTTGTCAGAAGCCAACTGGGAAGGTCACAAATGGCGATCATGTGACCCCAGGACATTGTAATTGTCATAAATACATGCTGTTGCCAAGTGCCTGAATTTTGATCATGTGACTGCAGGGATGCTGAGACGGTTGTAAGTGCAAGGATCAGTCGTAAGTCACTTTTTTCAGCACCATCACAACATTGAATGGTTATTAAACGAATGATTGTAAGTCAAGGACTACTGGTATTCCTTTCAAATCTTACACTCTATGATTCTGTGAAAATGACTATTGTCCTAGAAATGTACATACATGGCTTTCAATTTTCAAGAAAAAGGAAAATTAATACAATATAGCATTCTGGTTTGCCATCTACTCCAAACATTTAATAGCAAAAATTGATACCTTTCCAGTCACATGCACACTGTTTTCTTGCATGTTCATAATGGCTTCAGAAATTTTGACATCAATAGGATCCATAACTGATTCAATGTTGAATGGTCCCTCTAGTCTGTCTGCTACCAAAAGCATGGCATCTATTAAAGAACAAAGGAGTCAGTCATTAGATAATCAGTAACTAAGGAACCTCATATGTTATCTGCAGTTATCTCAGGACAAAATAATGAAAACAAGCTAGTCTCTTATTTGCTGTGCAGAATTCACAGGATGCTTGAATACGCAATGAGACAGAGAATAAAGCAGATTTTAAGAGGTCCTCATAGTGCAGTCTTGGGCCTAAAGGTTTGCATTGCTTTAACCATGTTTCAGGGTGTCTCATCCTAGAATGTATTGCAGATGTATCTGGATGACTTTGAAGGCATGCTTTTCAGTTGAATGCCTACTTTCAAAATACAAGTATGGCATGATTGTCTACAGTGCAGGCTGTCAGTCTGCATAGCATGCTTGTGTAGGTGTGTTGTGTGTATAGTCTGGAAATCTTAAGGTCAGATGGCCCATGGCAGTGGGAGAAGCCCATGGACGCTCTCTTCAGCAGCCAGCTGGGTCTCCTTGCCTGCTGTGCCCTGCCCTATGGGGTCTCCCTTCCCACTTCTCTTCTGAGTTGCAACTGTTGTGATCATGTTGAGGAACAGGAGAGTTCATTTCTTAGGCAATTATCTCTCCCCCCGCCCCACCCCACATGCTTTGTTAGGATCACTTGGGAGAGAAATGGGAATAAATTCTCTTTTCCCACCCAATAACTGTACCTACAAGATGAATGTTTCTCCATTGCTAACAGGACAACTGATTCTGACAAACAGCCATTTTGATCAGAAGGGCCGTGGGTGGGGATAGGTGCCTGGTTATAGGCTGATAAGAAAAGCTTTTCCCCCCAGTAATCAATCTTTTGTGTGTGGGTAATCCCAAAGTTACATTACTTTGTACACTATAACCCCTCAACCGAAATAGGTTGCTCATCCCTGATATATAGGAAAGGTTCACCTAAGTAATAAGAAGCAGGCTGAAGGTTTTCTCCCCCAAAGCCATCTGCTGTCATCCGTACAGAAGGAAAAAAGACAACAGAGAGTTGACAAACTGAATTCATTAAGGATGCCATATTCTACCTTTTCATGTAGCAGAGACAAAAGACTTTTGTCATGACACCTGAAACAGATAATTTGCTAAATAATTCATTCATAGATTTATCCATCATACAAATGAAAGCTGATAGAAATGAAGCCTTGGTATATAGTCTAGAGTTTTGCACAAGACACTGAAAACTTTGACTTGACATAGCAGGATCTTGTAATTAAAGCAGCTGTTCCCTCTGACCCCAAGGACTCCATCTCCTTGCAATACAAAATGGGATAAATATTGGATTCTTGCCATGATGTACCGGTACAAGCCAAATTTGATGCTTTGTGCTTTTTACAAAGTGCAGCTTGATGTCACCTGCTGGAAGATACATTTTATGGTACCACTGGGGTTACATAAGCTCATTTGTCTAATTACACAACACTGTACTCTGGGTGTTACATAATGCACAATAATAAAAGGATGATGATGTATACATACTACCCTTGTTATAGTATACCTTTGACAATCTGAACCACTGCCAGCTTATCCATCACCTTACTTTGTATTCTAGCCTTAATGCATATTTAAACAGTGTTCCTTTTCCCCAGCGTAGAATTCTTTTACCCCCTGGACCAGACTGAATGATAAGTTCTGTGTCAAAGACTTTGTTAGCTAATCAGTCTTTTCAAAAAATTTGCAGACATCTGAGGGCTCAGAATAAGATTTAGGGTGACTGCATGCATATTACCTTTAAAAGAACAAGCATAATTTAAAAGTGAAGATTTTTTTTAAAAAAATTTGGATGCCACGTTTCTAAAGATATGTGTATCATAATTATACCCAGTTTCTGTACTTCAAGTAAAGTCATAACAGATCTCACTGCAGTAATTATAGCAATATGATGGTCACAGACACCACCCTTGGTGCCTGCTAGGTCAATCATGCCTGATTATTTAAAAAAAAAGTTTTAATTTTTGCGCACTTTTTGAATAATTAAATAGGAAGTCAGCACATTGTAAAGCAAAGCTGTAACTTCTAGCATCATCTTTATTTACAAGACTGTTTCTAGGCACCGTATAGCTGACATAAATGATGGAAGGTTACAATCCAGACCAAAGAAACTCAGGGCAATCGATGGCACCCTCCAGGGGACTAGAGAATGTAGCAGGAAGCAACCTCAAACCATTGTCTTTGAGTGAATGGTTGTTTGGGACTACCCATGTCCACTATGGCAGCCAGGAAGTGACCAAACATCCTGTGGGAGCCATTGTGTAAAGGATGACACATAGCTGGAGGGTGGAATTTGCTAACATTCCAGGAGACCAAAAGGTTCTTGATAGATTTGAATATTGGGCCCTATTCAACAAAATGTTGTTCAGTGGTGAGAAATGTAGGATTTTGCACTTAGGCAGGAAAAAACAGATGTCCTGGTACAAGATAAGTATACCTGGCTTAGCAGTAGTATTTACGAGAAGGATCTGGGAGTCCTGGTGGACCACAGATTAAGGATGAGCCATCAATGTGCCACAGCTGGCAAAAAAGCCAATGCAGTTTTGGGCTGCATCAATCATTGTCAAGATTACAGGAAGTGATAGTCCCACTCTATGCTGCACTGCTCAGACTACACGTGGAATACTGTGTCCCCTTCTGGTTGCCACAATACAAAAAGGATGCTGAGGAAACGGAAAGAGTGCAATAGTGACACAGATAATAAGGGTCTTGGAGGCCAAATCCTACGAATAGTGATTAAAGGAACTGGATATGCTTAGGCTAAAGAAGGGAAGGCGAAGGGGAGACATATCAGTCTTCCAATATATGAAGGGATGAAACAAGAAAAAGGGTATGGATTTATTCTCCAGAGCACCCAAAGGTAAGATAGGACCAATGAGTGGAAGCTTTAGAGAGGGAGAGATCCAAACTTGAAATAAGGAGGAATTTCCTGTCTGTGAGAACAGCCTGCCTCCTAAGTCTGGAGCTTGTGAGTGCTTCATCATTGAAGGTTTTCAAGAAAAGATTGGACAGCCATTTATCTGGGATGGGCTGAGGATTCTTGCCCTGGGCAGGGGGTTGGCCTAGATAACATCTAAGCAATTCCAGTGCTGACCAATTCTAAATATGCTCTCCAATCCAAGAAAGTTGCTTAACTCTGCACTGTGAAGAAGACTGTGACCAGATACCTGCAAGCCTGCTCAGTCTGCTTTCTTGTTGTTATTTGTTGAGGGGTCTCTTCAAAGAAAGCCCCTGCTTTTCATTCTTAGGTTTCTTTGCCCCCCTTCCCCCAACATGTTCTTGAACTGGAGAGCTCTCCTTGGTAATGCAGGACATGAAGCTACCCAATTAACTTGAAACTCGACTTTTACAAATGTTCATTGAACAACCAGAAAAATTATGAAACTTTCTCTTTCATCTACTCCACCAATCATGGAGCTTCAGGACATCAGTCCAACATGCTTCTACCATGGAGGTCCTTAATAGGAAAGATTTCCAAACATGGTGCCACATGAACTTGAACATTTTTCTGGCCTACTTAAAAGAAACAAACTTGACAAATCTGGCAAAACTGAGAGACTGGGAAGCACTACAGATATAATTGACTGTAATATTTTTTTCAATAAACCAGAACATTGGTTTTTTGGTATTAATGCCAGTGTGCAAAATAATGTTTTCCAATTTAATTTGGCCATGAAACCTTCTGGGTCTTTGAATACAGTATATGGATGGCACACATACATATGAGTTCAGAGAAGGAAGGGTATTTTAGGTGGAAAGTTAGAACACCATGTGTGTTTGCGTGTGTGTGTGTATACATGCACACACACACACACACACACACACACACAGACAAATGATCAGTTGAAACTTTGATCAAAGGAAAACTAGAAGTGACAGATCTCAGGTATTTAGTCAAGCACTTTGCTTCATGACAGCCATTTCACTTTTGCATGAAGAAGGAGCACTGCATGTTGATTGTGTGAGATTTGCCCCGTTCGACAGAGAAACTCTCGTGACACGTGTGGTTCACAAAGA